GCTGAGGACTTTTTAAAAAAAAATTGTGAATTTTTTTTTTATTCTTTTTTTTATATGTGACTAATTTTATTTTACGTTTTTCCCCCCACAAATTTATTGTTACATAGGGGATAAGAAGTCCCCTATGTGGTAGCAAAGATGATGTGACAGGTCCTCTTTATAGAGACATCACCCCTAATGGCACCTAGGGACCCCCAAAGAAGCTGATGAAGCAGATATCTGCTTTATCAGCTTCTCTCCAGCTTCTGTAGCCGGAGTGTGACAGCTAAATGTGGAAGTGATGTAATATACATCACTTCCTGTATTCTGACACCGGAGAGGAGGTCGGAGGAAGATGGTGTACTGATCTCCATTTAATCTCCGGTGACAGAGATGCCGTGCTGGTCCTGGCCCATCCCGGGCACAGGGAGGTCGGGACCACCACTGCAGAGTGTTGGGCACACCTACCGGCATTTCATACTTTAGAGTCTCTTCATACAGGGACTCTATAGCCGCTGGACCGCTTGCCTGTTTTAAATTTTGACAGTTTCCCGCTAGTGCGTGCCATGGGACACGCACGAGTGGGCGGGGCTAACAGGCCATCTTTAGATGGCCTGTTACATTCAAGAAACTCGCGGCCGGCCGTTTAAGTACAACGGCCGGCCGTTTAAGTGCAACGGCCAGGAAGCAGTTACAAATATTTGTAATATTTTATTTTTATTAAAGATTTTTATTTTTTTTCACAGACCCCTGATATTTCCCTTTTACAATAGAAAAAGAGATTGAAGACACAGAGTCCTCAATCTCTTTTTCTGCAGCCCCTGTATTGAATGAACAGGAAACCTCTATACTGAGTGTTCCTGTTCATTCATAACTTGTGGAGATAGTATGTTTAATATGTCCACAATCATGAATGAACAGGAAGTGATGTAGAGCACTTCCTGTTCATTCATGATTGTGGATACAGTAAACATACTGAGGGGAATTTATCAAAACTGGAGCAGCCAAAATCCAGAGCAGCTGTGCATGGCAACAAATCAGCTTCTCCCTTTCATTTTCAAATCTTAACCAAACAAACTGAAGATATAAGTTGATTGGTTGCCATGGGCAACTTCTTAGATTCTGTTTGCTACAGTCCTCCTCCCCCCCTCTTATACCCTTATGTGGAGGACCCTAGGTCCCAAATTACAACTCAATAAATACATTCTCTTACACCCTCAAACATTGGTCCGCCAGGTGTACCACTTAACGATTGTACCAACTAAAATTTAAATGTTTGTTTATATTTATTACCCCATAGCATACACCATGGTGCAAGTCTTATCTCCTGTAGTTTGTCTTTACTGGCAGCCGTCTCCTCTCCCACTCTTATCCCCCACCACCTCCGTTGCAGAGTCTTCTGCCTCTCGTATCAGTTTAGTTTCAGTTTCGTTGTTCATTCCTTGTTAGCTGGGGCTATGCAGGGCTGTCAGAGCTAATCCTCCTTCGTCTCTTATCTACTGATTATCATTCTCCTGGGTTAGACGCCGGAGCTCTCAGCGTGCTCTCAAACGTGCACGTCTGCCCGCGGCCATCTTGGCTGTTTGCTACAGTTTTGATCAATTCGCACCATTATGGCCTCAATTATTTACAAACACTCAGCGATCACTAATCGCTGACTGCTTGTACCTGCTCTCCATCCTGACCCGCTGTCACAGGAGGCTGAGCCGGCGGTGGGGGGAGGAGAGCTCGGTCTCATTTGACAGCGGTCTCCTCCCCTACACCGCTCCCCATCCTGAGGCGATTTGGGAGGAGCGCTCCACCTCTTGTGACATAGACCACTCACACCGCTCTCCTCCCCGCATCGCTCAGCCTCCTGACAGTTTCTCTCCTCCCAGCTGGATGATGCGCTGTGTCAGAGCGAACATAGAGCAGCGCACAGCGGGGAGGAGAAGAACGAGAGATGCAATGCAATTTCGGACACAAAATGGTACTTTCTGCGTTTTGCCCAAAGTTCAATTTTCGGCCGATATGTTTTGGTAGCAGACATTTTGGTGCATCCCTAGTGTGACATCCAATAAAACTGCCACAGAAAATATGCAGTGCAAGTACCTTGAATATGAGGTAATACGGCCATTACTGCGGCCGCACTTGTTGCTAGGGGTCACATGTATATGACTGCCCTCCTGTACATACAGAGGGTAATTCATCAAAACTGGAAGAGACAAAATCTGGAGCAATTGCCTATGGCAACCAATCAGTATCTCTCTTCAGTTTGCTCAGGTAAGATTTGAAAATGAAAGAGAAGCTGATTGGCTGCAGTGCCAATATGCTCCAGATTTAAAAAAAAATCCCCCCACCCCCACAGTATATCATACAAACAAAAACAAAACAAAAACAAGGTTTTTGAAACGTATATTAAGAATATTATTTACATGAAACTTTAAAAAGATGGTACATTAGTCATAACTGTATACAATAAATAAAGCAGCGTTAGCAAAAATATAATTGTAGAGGTTAAGTGGTTGTAATTGTGACAAACATGTTTTGTGATGCTCACAAAGGCTTTTAAGATTGTGTTCTGATGTGTGATGAAAGCTTCCTTCAACCATCCTGGAGTGACAGCGATCACTCCGCCGCCCCCCCCGGCTTCATCGCTTCATTTTTCCTCGGATCCCTGCTGCCTCTGCCCATACAGGCGGGCAGGGCCGGTGCAGGGATTTTTGCCTACTCAGGCGAAAGAGCATTTTTGCTCTTTTTCACTTTATTTGTTTTTTCTAATTAGTTAATTTCTTTATTTTTTAAATCTTACTATCTTTTACTTTTTATCATTTTAATTATTATTTTTTATTTTTTACTTATTTTTTCAGAAATGTTTATTTACTTTATAATTTTTTATCATTTTTTTATTTTTTTCACTTAACTTTATTGCTATCACACAGGTGCTAGCTAACAAGCCCCTGTGTGATAACATTTGGAGGTGACAGGTTCTCTTTATTGTGGCGGCTGTCAGGATGGAGAACAGGAGGATTGGTAAATACCAGTGGTATTTATCAATTCTCTGTGTGCAGCACAAACACTGGAGCAATCAGCTGATCACTACAGTGTTTGCAAACAACTGGGGCCACATAGTACTAGGTGTCCCCAGTTATGAATGAACAGGAAGTGCTTTACATCACTTCTGAATGGGTAGTAGCACTTTGTACAGATGCTTCTACCCATTCATAACTGGTTGATAGTAAAATATTTACTATCGCCAGTTTCTGAATGAATGGGAAGCCTCTGTACTGTGTGCTTTCTATTCATTTAGAACAGACACTGCAGAGAAAGAGATTGGGGGCTCTCTGTCCTCAATTTCTTTTTCTATTTCAATTTCTGTGTAGCCTGTTGTGATTTCAGCTCCTTTAAGAGAAAAGATATTGCAGCTGCAGGTGGAGCCAGAGAGCACAGGCTGTGGAGACTGTATACAGAGCTGATTTGGATACGTTTGCTGAAAGGATTTTTGAGAACTGCATTACCCAGGAGGCTGTGGGGAAGGAAACAGGAGGCTTATGGGTTGCAACTGCAGAGCAGCCTCAGTCTGGGACAGCCATCTGAAGAGGACAGACCTGTGTAACCCTGTGTGGGTTAAGACTGTGTGAAACAAAGCTGTGTGGTCACCGCTGACATATAGGGACACACAGGCTCTGTGCAGCCGTCTATAGAGAGACTGATCTGAGTTGCTGAATCGGAGAGGACCCGATCGAGTGCCTGAAGTGAGGCCCGGTGACTTGGTTAACGCAAAGGACATCGAGGCCTAGTCGCACTGCCGAACCAGCCACTGGGGTGATCCAGCCATCCAGAGGGAGACGACTGCCAGTATCCTGAGTGAGTGAAAACTTCTTACAAGGGACCCAGATGACTTCACCTTCCTCCCAGAGTCGACTAGAGAGAGAGAGAGGACACCCAGCTTCCACCAGCAGACTTCATCTCTTCCCATTTGATCTGAGGAGTGGTGAGAGGCCTTTGGCCGCAGTGACACCCTGTTTATTGTTCACATCTGCTATACAGCAAGGGCCCCAACGTTGGCTAGCCTAGGACAATACTACTGGCCAGTAGTTTAGCGGGGGATAGATACTTTTAAGTAAAGATATTAATGTTGATTGCATTCAATCTAAGTATATTATATAAGACATTCTGACATTGCAGGCTTTCCTGCATGCAATAGATTGCTGCTGCGTGTCAGATTGCCTTATCCTGTTATTGGTTGTATTACAGGTGATTGGGGAGCCGTTAAGTGTTTGTTCTATTCCATAGTCATTAAATCTGTTATAAAACTTCACAAGGTGTGCTGGTGTGCTGTGGGTTCATTGCTTGTGGTGTGTCGCAGAGGTGAAACAGAAGACCCGATCATCCAGCGGCTCCTTCGGGGGTGAGCGCTACATCTGTTTAGACCCCTGATATTTCCCCGAAGCCCCCTAACAGTAAAAAAAAAATGTTTTTAAAAAACACAATGTCATCACATGATGCCTCAGGCTCAAAAGGAGCTAGCTACAGTTCTGCTTGCAGGCCTGGATTAATGCACTTGCCACACTAGGTGCTTATTAACATAGCAATATGTCACTGTGTCCTCACATTTCCACGTGTTTATTCATTTATTTTATCATATTCCTTTTAATGCAAAACTGGCCACACACCTAGATGTTTGCTATATTTGATCCGTTATACCAGGGGTAGACAACCTTGACTCTCCAGCTGTGCTGAAACTACAAATCCCATCATGCATCTGCCTTTGGGAGTCATGCCTGTGGCTTGCAATGCCTTATGGGATTTGTAGTTTCAGCACACCTGGAGAGCCAAGATCGCCTGCCCCTGTGTTAGACCAATAACATTTACCAAAAAAGACAATGTTGTTTTAGGCAACTGATAAAACCGGTGTCAACAAAGTAACTCCTTCATGTAGACTTCTCATCTCTGGAAAGATAGTTCAATATATATTTTAGGCAGCTGCAGAGTATATATACTATTGCAAATCAAAGGAGAAAAGTGGACAAACATATCCGTCACTCCATGGAGTTCCTTGTAGTGGTTGAATATGTTGAAGTAATGTTTCCTGCTCCACTCCCATTCCAGCTATGATATTGAAGTCTGCCTGCGTTTTCTGGTAGGGATGGCTGGTAACGATACTGGTATCCATAAGCCCTCAGGTGGTAGGTGAAATACTCCAAGGTGTACATGAGTTCTGCATTTACATAATGATATGACATGGCCAGGTCTGAGCAGCACTGAGGACCCTGGGAAATACAATATTGAGATGTCAGTTGAGAAGATCCTAAGGCAACATTAGAAAATACAAAAACCAAGAACAATCTGAAAGCTATAGTGAACCATAGCAAGAAATCATAACCTTTGCTTGATTAGACTTGCATTAACTGCAATCTGATTGGTTGCTAAAGATAACTGCACTTTGGACATGTCATATGTGGCTTCTGCTCTTCCTTTTTAATCAAAACAAAGTTTGGAACAGGTAAAGCCCCTTTCACACGGGCTGATCAGGAGGATCCGTGCATGGATCCTCTCCTGATCACAGCAGTACCGCTGTGACATCCGTGTCTGTACAGATTTTTCCTCCACCGTGCGATAGTCAAGAAAAAAAAGGAAAGTGCTGGACTCCATGTTGATCTATGAAGAATCTGATGTATAGGTGTCATGGATATTTTGGCTGGACTTTGCGCACTAAAAGGTACACGTTCGGTATTAAAATGCGCCCAGCACAAACAATCCCGTTGCGCTTAAATGCACGCTGCATTCAGTTCTTTAGCGCCAGAGAGTGTCAGACACGATGCTGGTTCAAGCTGGAGCCAGTGTAAAAAAGGCTGAACAGACCCCCCAACTCCTTAATTTATTAAGGCAAAAGGACGACGCACAGTGGGAGACGGCTTTAAAACATCAGCCAGTCAGCCCAGATAGTACAGGTACATATCAAAAGGAAAAGGTGAATACACCAACATGGCCGAACAGTGAGATGCACACACCTCATCCCTGTAACACAAGAAGGGATGAGTCATGTTCATTGTCCCGACTGGCCACGTGGATGCCCATCCCCCATCATTGTCAGCATGGACCCCATTCAATACTGCTCAGAGTGACCAGTATCTAGTAAGGTCATTCTACTTGTTCTATAAGATAAATAAAAATCTAAAAAAAATTAAATTGATTAACAAATTAAATAAATAAAAATAAAAATAAATAATTGAATAAAAAGTGATAAAAATAAAGAAACAGTAAAAAAAAATTTGAAACTAGCCCCGCTCCAAGGCCAGGTTCCCCAATACGCCCCCCGCCCTGCCATCTGGTTGCCATTCTCAATTGATGGGGAAGGGGGCTTGGCGGCGCGGGCGTATTGTGGAACCTGGTCTTGGGGAGGCAGGGGGAATAAATACGGCCCTGACGGTACCAGTATACTGACAAGGCATATATCAATGTCTTCTTATAAAAGCAGATATGTATCCAAAACGGATAACAAGTCCGCAATAGAGGTATAATACGTATCTCTCGTTATACGGACTTCGCTTCGCTAATGTGTATAGACGTTTGAAGGCTTGAAGCCAAGCGTGTTGCACTTAGGGCTCACAAACCGGCAAGCGCCCCCACACACCACGAACATGTCTCCAAGCCCATAAGAAGGTTTTCATACTGACGGTTTTACCGCTGGTCCCTGGTCTCTCTGCTAGAGCGCTCTCCGGTTAAATCCGACACAGGGAGACAGATGACAATCTATAGAACACACACATCCTAAAATTAAAACGTACACATAATTCCATATACCGTATTTTTCGCTCCATAATACGCACATTTTTTCCCCCCAAAAGGAGGGGAAAATGTGCCTGCGTCTTATGGAGCGAATCCCGACGCCCGAGACATGCAGTTTCGGGCGCCGGGCGAGTAGTAGGAGCCACTGCTCGTTTAATACGAGTGATCTAATGAGATCACTCGTATTAAAACCGAGCAGCAGCGGCGACGATCGAGATCACCATAGAGCAGACGAAGAACGGACTTTCTTTGTCTGCTCTGTGTGATCACTAAGACCGTGGCGCTGTAATCACAGCGCCACCTGTCTCAGCGGTCACTAACTGCAGCTTCTGTCACAGCTTCGGTCATAGAAGCTGTGACAGAAGCTACAGTCTGTCTAATGCTCCATAAGGCGTGCCGGACCTCCCTGCGTCCTATGGTCCGGTGCGTCTTATGGACCGCAAAATACGGTAATAAAATTTTCACAACATAGGGACATGTGTCCATTTACATTAGATTATCCCCGACCCGGCACGATCTGGTCTGGCGAAGAGGATCTCTGATCTGTTTGTTTCTCTAGACTCAGCCAGAGGCAGGGGTAACTGGATGTAAACGGACGCTCATTTGTTTACAAACGGCTGCCCATAGACTTGCACTGGGCATCCGATCGGGTCTGTCTGAAAAGCTGACAGAATGACTATATTTTGCATTGCCTGGCTGCAATCAGGTTGTGTGGCGCTGCGTATTAGTGTAGTAATATAAAGTGTTCCATCAGCTACACACTACACTCTCATTTTGTTAGAATTGCTTAGATAACCATTACAATCAATAACATTTATATACATATACCTGTATATAGGTACCTTCTTCTGTATCATAGGAAAGGATGTCAATATTGCCATTTGGAAACAGTTGGATCCATACAGAAAGTTAAAGAAGAACTCCGGGCAAATTACAAATGAAACCTTTTAGTGGAGTTACCCCACACTACAAGGGTAAAGTGCTTCTTTTGGTCTAGGGTCTAAAATAAAAAAAGATATGCTCACCTCTTCCCCCCTCCGCTTTGGCTGTGGTCCCTCGGCATCGTCACGTCCAGTGTAAGCCAATGGACTTGTATTAAATGTGAGGATGTCAGCAGGGTGTAGACTGCTGGAGCCTGGGGAAGAAGAGGCTTCAGGGACCAGTTGAACAGGCAGACAGGATCGAGGATTGGCTGAGTATATGCTTTTTCTTTTAGACCCTAGACCAAAACAAGCACTTAACCCTTGAAGCGCAGGGGTAGCCCCACTGCAAGGATTCATTTTTAAAATGTTCACCTTTAACTTGAAAAAACACAAACTGTATGTAAACGTCTGTTATTTGCTTCTGTCAGTCTGTTAAATATACCATTGGAAATCTTGTAAGCTGGTAACTTTCGTACTCTCTGCTGCTGATGAACTGTTATCAGTTACAATGTTCCCAGCTATCTCTAGAGGACTACAGGACCCCTCTATGCTGTAGAGAAGAGGAGGGAGGTGTTTGTAGTCCAGTCCAACGCTGCTCCTCCATAGATTCAGTCTGGTGAGTTTGCGTTGTCACCCAGGAACAGGAAGTGTGCTACTAGGCAGGGTCTCCAAGTTAAAATAAAAATAATGCCGTGATCACTGGAGCCCGGGCATCTGAGAGCCTGCAGAGCCCACTATAGAGAGTCTATGGTGGGCTCTGCAGGATCACCCTCAGGTGGGCTGTTTGGTATATCAGGTGAGCTCTGCAAGTGGCATAACTATCAATCACGGGCCCCATACAAAATGTTGCTATGTGGCCCTGTGATTTCTAGTTACGCCCCTAGTGCACAATCATTTATTTTCCAGTGCCCTCAGACCTTTGTGTTGTCGTTCATGTTGTATAGCTTTTGTAAAGTGTAACTCTGATTTCCATCACCTGCTTTTATTTATGAACTTGTCTAGAATGTGTGTGCCTGCTAAGGAAGGACTTCCATCCAAAGCCAGTGCCTGAAACTTGACCCTGTCCTTTTTCCTTAGCATTGCAGGAGCGTGCGCTCTGACCTAGGAATAGGACTATGGTGGTCGTTTTGTTGAAATAATATTTTAACATTGTTCCTTATATACCATTTCCATAGAATCAATGAGATGATTTTATGAAAAAGTAATGACGAACACATGTGCCTATGAGAACAAACTAAAGGTGCCCATACATTGTGCGATTATCGCACGATAATCGCGGGAAATCCTGCGATCGTACGATAATCGCAAAGTGTATGGAAGGCGTGCGATCGTTTTTACTGTACGGTTGCACGTCTTTTGTCTAAGGAGCATGCTAGAAAACCAGCCGAGAATCGTACGATTTTCGGCTGGTTTTTAGCATGATCGTAAGATCAATGCCGCACGCGCTGCTGTTCAGCATTGCGGTCATCGGAAGCCCGCCCCTCAGGGGGGCGGGCTTCCGATGATCGCAAGTACGATCTGCCTGTCCAAGATGGGCAGATTGTACGTTTTTTTAATTACTTTACAACCATCGCAAGACTAAGGTCTTGCGATGGTTGTAAAGTGTATGGCCACCTTTAGATTTCATACTAATTTGAAAGTTTTCTTTCTTCCATTTTTGTTTTTAAGCCTCAAAAGGTAGTTCCGTGGCAGGATACATTTTATTTTAAACATGATCTCAGGGGTCATCATGGCTTCTGTCGCACGTAATGCTGAAAGCCACAAAAATCCTCAACAATTACTGATCCTGATTATGTCATGGACCAGCTTCACGCTAAGCCACATGCCACCTGAAATTTCTCTGCCAGACCTAATGGGTGAAAGCCAGTCACTTTCCTCTCTTCTCATTACCTGACTTCCTTTCCTATTCTCAGCTGGAGATAGGCAATCTACCTCAATGTTTCAATATGATTTCCTCCTGCATGATACTGTCTGACTGATTATTCAACATTTTCCTATACCATGCAAACGAACATTACTCTCATTTAGTGACTGAGACTACTCCAGAGTTGCTACAGAGGAGAAATGCCTATGCTGGGCAACATATGTCAGGCTACCTCCTGAAACCAGGGCTGGATTTACACTGTCTGCTGCCCCAATGCCAGGTTCCTGAATGTGCCCCCCCCTGTATGTAGGCTGCATACAAGTAATCTCGGCCACATCGCTGAGATCACTTGTATAAAACAAGCGGCGGCTTCCCCACTGTACATTTAGCCCTGCTTACCCAAAGCAATGCAAAATGTAGAAAACAAGTGCCCACCTGGTGTCTGGAACTGCATGTCCCAGGCATCAGGAGATAGGAATTCCACACCCCTGCTGCCCCTCTACTCCCTGCTGCCCGGAGGCCTGGCCTCGGTTGGCCTTATGGGAAATCCGGCCCGGCCTGGTACCATTTCTGCTCTGAGGTTGTTTCCCTAAAAGTCACAAACTGCAGGAAGGCCTCTGCTGCTTGACCCCTAGTTCCCCTTTTACTAACTGTAGAAGTGTGTCATAAGAACATTACCCTGCCCCACTCTGGT